ATCTCTTGCCTTATAGAGGGCAATAAATAAATAAATTACAATCAATTCTGGTGTTAACGTTTTTGCTGTTGTTCACCTACTACACTGTTGTTTTATGCTGTCAATTAAAAATCAGCTGCTCACAGAATTTTTTTAACTTTTAGCACAGACTGCGTGTCATTCGTGAAAACGGTTTAAATGACAACCAGAAATTTACCTTTCTCTCTAAATATGACGCAATCAGGCCAAAGTTCTTGGGGTGTTGGACAAACCTGGAAAGATATTCAAATTGTTACTCATGTTCCAGGAACGAAAAAAATAAAATAAAGGTGGGCAAGTATTACATGACATTTGGGTGCATAAACATTTTCAGCCCTTCAGATTTACAAGGATACGGTGTGAGCTAGCAATGTTATGCTGCTTCCAACAAAAAAAAAAAAAAAAAAAAAGGCTTACTTTTCCTTAAAGATCTCCTTTTCGTGTTCGGTCCAAACATTCATAAACTGCCGGGCTTTGTACACCTTCATCGGGTCGTCCATTAGGCCATTCATGTTGATAAACTTGACTCGCCTCTGCTCGGAGTCGTACATCATGGGAGGAATGACTGATAGTTGTCTCATCTGTTTCTCATTGTTCTGTGGACGTGAACAGACTGAACGTTAGTATCTTAGGCACAATATATGTTTTTTTTTTCCTAATAGAAGATGTATAAGATTTGAAAATGTAACAGACAGTCAAAGATGTAGTGACTTCATTATTCACCTTACTCGGAACTTTTTTTTTTAGTCGAGTCAGAGCTTTAAAAACAATAATAAACCTAATAAAATAGGTGTAAAAGGAGTATAAAACAGTTAGTGCTCTACGTGGGCTACAGTACTTTGCACAAATGACAGGCAACTTAAAGAAGATTGTAGATTCATAACCACCTCCTGCTCCGAAAGGCCATCAATGATCTCAGAAATCTCATGCTCGCTTCTTGCAATCGTTGCAGAAAGGCCCGTGCCTCTTTGCCCAACCCTGGAAAACATGAGAAAAAAAATGGTTTTAAAATGTTATTAAGTTTTGTTTAGGGCAATGCAATTTCGAAGTGTTTATGGTTTATTTTAGGGCTGTAATCAACTCAAGAAAGTCGCGGTTGACTTAACCAGTGAAAATGCCGAATTGACTATTACCTGAAAACGTTTACTCTTAAACACAACATGGAAGTCTTCTTTAAGAATAGAAAAATGAATCAAACAAACCAGGATAGAAAAAGACAAGGATAGAAACTAAATAAAACGCATAACTGAAAAATGAAGCACGGGCTCAAAAACAAAAAAGCCGTGCACTCAGTGCTAAAAAATAAACTGCCTAAATCAAATAATAATACTATCAATAAATGTGCACAATAATATTACGGTTATTTCGACAAATTTTAGTGCATAACAATAGCAAGCAGAAACTATTTTTATAAGCTCAAAACTCTGTGTTCTCCGGTCCATAAAATGTGTAGTCACCGTCATATAGGACATTCAAATAGATATCAAAGTATCTGTGGTCCAGCTGAGTGCTTCGCTGTGTCATATTAACTTTAAAACGTTCTCTTTTAGTCTCTCATAGCGCGTGCATTGTGGTTCAGCGTGCCAGCACTGTATATCCAGGTTCCAAAACTTCTTAAGAGTTCTTAAAACTGCGGTCCTCCACAACACAGATGAGCTTATCCTGAGCTGTAAAATTTACAACTCTCATCTGTGATGTCATTTTGGCTTTTAAATAATAAAAGGGCTTAACATCCGGGTCTGGGAGTATCTGAGGGATGCTGCCCTTGTAGCAGATGGGTGTGCCTGCCATTATAAAACGATTATTAGACTAAAACATGCTGCTATGTTCATAAAATGAAAGCGGATGGCCAAACAAATATCCTACCGTTTATGTGACCTGTCATGTTTGTAGTTGAGATTACAGCCATAGGTTATTTGTGATCATTTTTAATTTAATTAAATTGTCAGTTAATATAAATTATTAAATAGTTACTTTGAGGGAAAACTGGACGGAGGTTGTTTTTTTTTTTTTTTTTTAAGACGTTTCACCTCTCACTACTTTTATTTGTGAGTACTCTAAATGAAATTGTCAATATGGAAAATGTCATGAAAATGATACCAAAGTATAACTAAACTCCTACCAAAACATGTAATAAATACACAAAATGCACAAATGCACAAATTAACAGCTATAGTGCCAAAGGTTTCAAAAATGAATTATTATTTCAAATAAAAATACATTTTTCTAATCACAATGTCTTGGCTATATGTTCTATTCATTTTGCAACTCTTTTTGATAAATAAAGGTGTACGTTTTAATGTAACCCCCAAACTTTTGAACGGTAGTGTATACATATATATATATACATTTACATATATACATATATACATATATATATATATATATATATACATATATACATACATATATACATATATATACACATACATATATACATGTACATACACATACATATATACATATATACATACATATACATATATACATACATATATGTACATATACACATACATATATGTACATATACATATATATATATATGTTCATATTTTTTCATAGAGTTAATGGATTTTAGTCATCACTGTGTATTGTCGTGGTTGCTTGTAGAACAAGTTGGGAATGCTTTCCAAACATATGTAAAGCTGTTGATTTCAACCTAATAACGAGTCTACAGTCATTCACAATCCCTTTCCATCCATTACACTTATTTATTACTGTCAACTCAGTCAGGCTGGTCTGATCGTAAGTTGAAGCCTGTGCTGGATGAGATGGTATTTTACGCTCCCAAAGTGTGTGCAAATAATAACAATATAATAATAATAATAATATAAACTGTGTATTAGACAGAGGTGGGA